AGTCTGTTTCAGCTCGTTAATGCCTAGGATATTGATGTTTATGTGTTCCATTTCATTTTTGACAACCTCTAAATTTCCTAGATTCATATGTTGTACATATGTGAATTCATGCATGATCTGCACAATTGTTTTTATGTTTCAAGTCATGTTTCAACCACTATATCAATTCATCTCATTGGAGTTTTTCTCCTTTTTGTTGACTCTCTACTTTGCCAAGCATGATGTCCATCTGTAGGACTGATCCCTTGTGATGCCCGAAGTACATGGGACAAAGTCTTACCATCCTTAGTTCTGAGGAAGATTCTGGTTGTACTTCTTCCACCACAGATTTGTTCATTCTTCTTACAGTCCAGAACATTCTACTATTCTTTGCCAACTTCTTCCTGTGTCATTCATACTCATTGTCCATGTAAGTGAGTTCACTGAAAATCCCTAACTTGTGTCAGGACACATTAGTGTTGAAAGTAAAGATTGTTAGTAAATATTCTTGAGTCAATTCCGACTCATAGTGACCCTGTATAGGGTTTCTGAGGAGTGGCTGGTGAGTTTGAACCACTGACCTTATGATTATCATTCCAATGCTTATGCTATACTACCACAGCAGGATACCAAGTGAAAATTTAGGTCAACAGAGAAGCTGGTGAGTTCAAATCACTGACCTTTTTGCTTACCAGCTGAGCATGTGCAGTATTCCTAACCACTCCTAAGTGAAGATTGTTGTTGTTATTGTTAGGTGCCATTAAGTCAGTTAGACTCATAGTGATCCTGTGCAAAACAGATGCTGCATCCTGCACCATCTTGTTGCTGTTGCCATCACATTGGGGTCTCCCCCTTCTTCACCAACCTTCCACTTCATCAAGCATTGTATCCTTCTCCAGGGACTGGTCCATCCTGATGATATGTATGAACAAAGAGAGATGAAGTTTTGCGATCTTGGTTTCTAAGGAATATTCTGGCTGTTCTTCCAACACAGATTTATTTGTTCTTCTGGCACAATATATTACCTTTAATATTCTTCAACACAATAACTCAAATGCATCAATTCTTCTATGGTCTTCCTTATTCAATGGCCAACTTTCTCATGCATACTATGCTTCTGAAAATATAATAGACTGGGTCAGGTGCACCTTACTCCTAAACTGATGACTTTGATCTTGAACGTGTTAAAGGAATTTTGTGCAGTAGATTTGCTTAATATAATATACTGTTTGTTTAGATTGAGTATTCCATGAGTGTTGATAGTGGATCCAAGCAAAATGAAATCTTTGACAACTTCAATCTTTTCTCCATTTATCCTGATGTTTGTTGGTCGTGGTGAGGATTTTGTTTTCTTTACACTGAGGTGCAACACATACTGAAAGCTGTTGTCTTTGATCCTTATCAGTAAGTAATTTAAGTCCACTTTCAGCAAGCAAGGTTGTATCATCTGCATATCACAGGTTGTTAATAAGTCTTCCTCCAATCCTGATGCTACAGTCTTCATATAATCTAGATTCTCACACTATTTATTCAGCATATATATTAAATAAGTATGGAGAAAGAATACAATCCTTGCACACACCTTGCCTGATTTAAAACTATTCAGTGTCCCCTTATTCTGTTCAAACAACTGCTTCTTGATCTATGGACAGGTTCCTCATTAACACAATTAAGTGTTTTAGAATACTCTTCTTTGCAATGTTATCCATAGCTTGTAATGATCCACAATGTTGAAGCTTTTACATAGTCAATTAAAAATAGGTAAACATCTTTCTGGTATCTTCTGATTTCAGCCAAGATGAATCTGACATTAGCAATTATATTCCTTTTTTCAAGTCCTCGTCCGAATCCAGCTTGAACATCTGGAAGTTCCCTCTTAATGTACTGTTGCAGCCAACTTTGAATTATCTTTAGCAACACTTTATTTGCATGTGGAAACCCTGTTGGACTGTTTCACTCTGTCCCCTAGGGTTGCTATGAGTTGGAAACAACTTGACAGTAAAGGTTTTGTCAGATGGGAAGAACATTTGGGACTAATCACTGTTGTCTTAGAGATGGTGTCTAAAAGTGTGTGATGGTATTTAGAAGGGATTATCTGTACCTAGACCAAGAAGCAGTTGTTTGAACAGAACATGGGAACACTGAATGTTTTAAAATTGGGAAAGGTGTGATACAGGGTTGTATTCTTTCACCATACTTATTCAACCTGTATGCTGAGCAAATAATATGAGAAGCTGGGTTCTATAAAGAAAAACGTGGCATCAGGATTGGAGGAAGACTCATTAACAACCTGCGATATGCAGATGATACAACCTTGATCGCTGAAAGTGAAGAGGGCTTGAAACATTTACTTATGAAGATCAAAGAGCACAGCCTTCGATATGGATTGCATCTCAATGTCAAGAAAACAAAAATCCTCACCACTGGACCAATAAACAACATTCTTATCAATGGAGAAAAGATTGAAGTTGTCAAGGACTTCATTCTTCTTGGATCAACTATCAGCACTCGCGGAAGTAGCAGTCAAGAGATCAGACGACGTATTGCACTGAGCAAATCTGCTGCACAGGAACTTTTTAAAGTATTGAAGAGCAGAGATGTCAGCTTGAGGACTAGGGTGCGCCTGACTCAGGCCATTGTGTTTTCAATAGCCTCATATGGATGCGAGGGCTGGACAGTGAATAAGGAGGATCATAGAAGAATTGATGCCTTTGAGTTGTGGTGTTGGAGGAGAATACTGAGGGTGCCATGGACTGCCAAAAGAACCAATAGATCTGTTTTGGAAGAAGTGCAGCCAGAGTGCTCCTTGGAGGCCAGGATGGCTAAGCTTCGTCTCTCCTACTTTGGACATGTAGTCCGGAGGAAACAATCATTGGAGAAGGATGTCATGCTAGGTAGGGTGGAGGGTCAGAGAAAAAGAGGAAGACCCCCAACGAGATGGATCGGCCAGGTGGCATCATTGATGGACTCGGGGGTTGCAGCGGTGGTAAGGTTGGCCCAGGATCGAGCATTGTTTCGTTCTGCTGTGCATGGGGTCGCTATGAGTCGGTTCCGACTTGATGACACCTGATAACAATGAACATTTGATCAGAATTCTGGCGTGGCTCTTTAGGATAAGCACTAGACTGCTATCCACAAGCTCAGTGGTTCAGACACACCAGCCTCTCCTGGGAAACCCTACACAATGTTGCTGTGAGTTGCCAAAGACTTGATGGCATTTGACATCAACAACAGACATGGGATCAGCTGGTTCACTAGGTGAAACCCAAAAATTGTAGCTGAGACCTCTCTGGTTATCAAGGAACACTCAGGAAGATGCAGTCCATTCTGCCTTCTAGAATCTTCAGATTTTCATTCCTAAACCCAAGAAGTAAGTTTGCTCCCATGAGAAATGTGATCTAACTTGCAAACATCTGCGTATTTTCTGCCCATTTCCAACCTCTCCCTCGCCACGGTAATGGAAGGAGTAAGTGTAGTTAGGGAAGCAGGTGGACTTCCTGCCAGGTGATGTGACCCACAGTGTCACACAGACTCATTCATAACTCCACCGACTTCCTACTGTGCAACTTGGAGGGCCATTGTTTAAAAGCTCCTTAGCTTTGTCTGCCTGCTGAATGGAAGAATACAAGCACATTTCCTCTAAGATCTGTTGCATTTGACTCTGCATCTCTTGACATCCCAGATTTAGCCAATCACCAAGCCCCACTTTTTTCTATTGCTTCAATTGCTTCTATGAAGTGTTGAGGTTCAGGGTAGAAATTTCATCTTCCATGAGGTAGACTTTTGTTCAACTAATGGAGAACACATCTCACACACAGCTGCTGCCTGTCTGTCAATGAAGACTTGTGAGTTGCGAGGATGCTGAACAGGATTCAGCTGATCTTCCAGACACATCAGGACCCAATATTAAGAAGGACCTGAAAATCAGTCAGTGACAACATTATGGTTCAAAAAGTTACTATCCACAGTTTATCGTGGTGAGGTAGCAGGTTGTTTCATTGTGTTGGTCATGAGGTTGCTATCAGACAGGACCTGGCTCAAAGGCAACTAACAATGACAACAGCAAGCTTTTGTTCCACTACACTCCCCAGTGTACCATAGCTCTCCTGACCACTTTCACACCGTGGTCCTGATTCTGGTCTTTTCCTTCTCATCCCCTCTCTGACCTATAGATAGAGTGATCATCACCTGTGGCATTTTCCCCCCCACCAACTTAAAGGCCTTCAACAGCCTTGACTGATTCCTTAACAGAGATTACCAAGCCTTCCAGAGCAGTCCCTTCTTCCTTTCTGCTCTCATATCTTGCTGATGTCCAACTGGCCCTTTATGCTCCAACTTACTCACTGCCTTTTTGCTGAAATGAGTGTTCTGAATGCTGGCCTGCTGCCTCTCCCCTTACCCTCCCACTTGTCTAACTCCTATTTATCCTTCCTGTCTCAACTAAGTCCCACTTCTCTGGCAAAGTTGTCCTGTGAGCATTCCCCACACTGCGTTAGGTGTTGTTAACTTTTTCTCCTAATTGCATCCTTTATGGCCTTTTCATAATGGTTTCCCTGATGCTTGGTGGTCTGCATCACTAAATCGTACATTGCCAAAAGTGCTGTTTTAATTCACCACTGAGCCTTTGCAACTTGAATAGTGTCTGTGCAGAGTAAATCATCAATAAATACTCGCTGATTATGTGGAGGAATTAAAGGAGGAACACTTCCTTTGTAAGAATCAATTATTTTATTGAAGTACTTGAAATTAGAGTTACATTTTACTGTATATGCAGTAAAACCTGAAAAATCCAGAATTCTTTTAAGCTCAGAGAAAAATCAAATGTTTTCCATAAATAGATAGTGATAAAGAAGTTGTAAGACTGTACAAATACCAGGAAAAACAAGACAACTCAGTTGAGTTCTGACCCTCACAGTTTCACCATATATATATTAACAAGTAAAATACCATTCATAATACTGTTAATATGTGAGAGCTGAGATATTAAATAAATGGTATTTTACTTTAAAAAATATTTACAGAATCATCTGAGAAAAATGTATTTGAAGAGGAGAACCTTACGCTTATTGAAAACATTGAAAAGAAAAGATGTGAAATACTCAATAAATGGGATGAAATTCGAGTTCTTGAAAAAGAAATGAAAACCACTTTGATTCATGTGGGGATTTCCAACATTACTGAGAGCAGCATTAAAAGCCTAGAGGTACATGGTTTATTGATTACATGTGAAGGTTGTCCTTCTGATTATGAACCTTGACCAACATGTGAAGCAGTTTGATTTTATAACAGTAAACATATTGTAAACTTCAGTCCCAATATAGTTCTCTTTCAAAAAATTTTTGGCAAATAATTAGAATAATTAAAGAGATCTAGCTACAATTTTATAAACATGAAGATGATAGAAACAAATTCCATAGAACTCCACTATAGTGTTCAAATTCCATCTCCTTCTAGTCAGTATTCAAATTGGATATCTTTTGGGTCAATTTCTGTCCCTTATAAGTTAACACTTTTGGATAGAAAATGCTTGTCATAGAAACAATGGCTTCCATAATCAAATACTTATGATGTGTGTGCTAGGTCATTTCAGCAGTGCCTATAAAGTTTGAGTCAACATTCCAAGATGAAACAGTTTTATGATATTATTTCATTCTTAGGTGTGCAGAATCTGACTCAGTGTACACTCTGTTGTTATTGTTAAGTGCAGTTGTGTCAGTTCTGACTCATTGCAACCCTGTATAGGGTTTCTGAGGAGTGGCTGGTGAGCTTGAGTCGCTGACCTTGTGGTTCAAACCGACCTTGCAGTCCAGCACATTAACCCACAGTGCCATACCAGGATTCCAATGTACACACTAGTTATGGACTTTATAAATGATAATCCATTATTCTTGTACCCTTGCTTATATATGAAGAGTCTTTATGTTATTGGAAAATGCGTATTATGAAAAAAAAAAATGCATGGATTTCAAATTTTTTACACCAAAATTAACTCAGATTAACTTGCTACAGTAATATTGGACATAGTCTAGTTTGTGGGACTAAGAAGAATAAGATACCAGTTTGCAAAGAACCTGTGCAAGGGCAACATGGATTCTGCTAAAATTGAAAGAAGAGCAAACATCAAACTTACGGCGAAGCTTGGGTAGAAGAATGGTGAAATCATTGATGTATTATGTAAGGTTTATGGGGACAGTGTCCCAAAGAAATGGACAGCTTACAAATTGAGCAATAATTTTAAGAAGGAACAAGATGATACTGAAGATGAAGCTTGTAGGGGAAAACCATCCACACTGAAAAAGGTAGGAAAAAAATAATTTTGTTCCTGCAGTAATTGAAGAGGACCAACAATTGACAGTCGAATCAGTAGCCAACACCATAGATATATCAACTGGTTCAACTTATAAAATTCTAACTGAAACATTAAAGATGAGGAAAGTTTCTATTCATGCCCAAACTGCATCCAGGTCTGCTGCAGAAAAGTCGAGCTTACAATGGAAATTTTAAACAAGTTGGGTGAAGAGCCTGAAGTGTTTCTCGGAAGAGCTAGAACAGGAGATGAAACATGACTATCAGCGTTATCCTAAAGTCAAAGCAGAATCAAAGTAGCGGCTCCCAAGAGGAGGAAATGGTCCAGTCAAAACAAAAACGGACCAGTCAAGAGCAAAGGTCAGGGCAACAGTTTTTTGGGATATTCAATGCATTTTATTTGTTGGCTTTCTAGAGACAAAAAGAATGATAATTTTGAGAGTGGTCTGAGAAACTCAGGCAAAGTTTTCACAGAAAAATGCCCAGGAAAGCTTCACTAGACTTCCTTCCCATGACATTGCTTCTGCTCAATCCTCTCATTAAACAAGGGGAATTTTGTGAAAGTTTCAACGGGAAATTATTATGCATCCACCTATAGCTCTGATTTGGCTTCTTCTGACTTTCTTTTTTGTTTCCTAATCTTAAATACAAATTCAAACTTTCTTTTTTGTTTCTTCATCTCATATGCAAGTTCAAACTGAAGCTGAAGAAAATGAAAACAAGTCAATGAGAACCAAAATATGACCTCGAATATATACCCCCTGAAATTAGTGATCATCTAAAGAACAGATTTGATACATTAAACACTAAAGACCAAAGACCAGAAGTGTTGTGGGGTGACATCAAGAACATCATATGTGAAGAAAGCAAAAAGTCATTAAGAAGACAAGAAAGAAGGAAAAGGTCAAAATGGATGTCACAAGAGACTCTGAAACTTGCTCTCCAGCATAGAGATGCTAAAGCAAATGGAAGAAATGAGGAGGTCCTACCTAGAGCTGGACAGAAA